CCAGTAATGATGTTTGATGAGATAGCATTCTGACTTAGATGATAATTAACAAATCTAAAAACATCAATGCTTTGAAGTCGTTAATACTGCTTTGAAGTCGTTTATATTGCAAATTATCGCAGCCCCCCCCTGAGAAAAAGACAGTAAAACGAATGAGGACGACCTCGTGGATTATTGCAATGGCATTTCTCCAAAAAATAAGAATATAATAATATTTGAGATAAGTGAGTGTTGCAACTATCTCACGAGCTTCAAATCCTCCAATTTATAATCGACAACTTGCGACGCACGTGATTTTTGTATTTGAAATGAATATTCACATATTGCAATTTTATAAGAATGACCGTATTGTAGTGGTTAGGGCACTTGATTAAGTGGCTCTGCACTAATACGTTTTATCTTCCAACTTACCAAGAATCTTTTGGTCACTCTCCTCATGATGTATACGTAGACATCACTTACATTCTATGTATTTTGAACTAATTTCATATTTAAGAAACGAAGATTGAAATTTCAAATGTCAAGATGTGGTGTAATCCATTAATAGTTAGTACTATAGCTCAAACATTTAGATCATTATTGACTTGTAAGAGATATGGTTAGAGCACTCAAACAAAACTAAGCAATATGTCAAACATTTACCCTATCGCCACCTTTTTTGAAACTCCAAATTATGAATGTCATCAGCATCAGGTCAGTTTTTACATTAAGGCAAAATATGAGCTACCAAGACTTCATTTATCTAGAGAATCATATACTGTGTGTAAACTATTAAGGCAAAAATACTTAACTATTTTTTCTAAATCAAAACTAAACTATAAATGTTGAACGTAAAAGTTCTTGATATACTGTGTGTAAACCTCTTGTTTGTTTTTGAAAAAAAAAACTATAAAACTATATTGGTAGTCCAAAATTATCTTTCAAATTAAAAATCCAAATTTTGGTCATTCGCATGATTTATCGCTTAGATTAAAAATCTACTAGATTTATCCAATGAGATTTAACCACTAAAATTTTGTACTACTCTAAATTAATTAAGGTACCCATTACCTAAAAATTCAAGTATTTGTTGTGCTATATATAGCGCATCATTCTCGTGTAATCTCTCTCAAATCATCACCACTAAGCTACATAT